GAACATGATTTAAAAAGAATTTCATGATTCCATGTCTTCTCTCGGCCCCCCTACACCAAAGTGCCAGAGCATTTGTGCTTAGTTTGTATTTTACTGCGACTGGTTGTAATTACCAATAATATCGGCAAGTACCAAAGACACCAGACACAGCCAATGCAGTTCAAAGCAGGGAGCTATGCCCCTGAGTAATACACTATTTGTGCCTCCAGCTCCCCTCATTCATGGCTGCTAGAGTAGATGGCTGTTATAACTTGGCACATTTTTTTAGGCAAACTGAATTTTGAAGTAGTGAAACAAGTTTCTGTAAGTTATATAACAGGCTCACTGATGTCAGACTTAATGTGTGTCCATGCACACGCTATTGGATCGTGCATCAAAACAGAATACTCAAATAACTATTGCTGCCACTCCAAGTGGAATGCTCTTGCTGCTGGATGGACTTACATAATCTGACAGATATGTATGCAAATATCTAGCCTAGGTCATGCCTCTAGCCACTGAGCTGCATATGCAAATGTATACTGAGACTTTCTACCTTGGTATCTTAATTCTACTCCATATTATGTCCTAGTCTTGTACATCAGTCGGTGGTCCTGCCATCGACCCAGTCTTGTCCATTGGTCTACGGCACTGTTATCCACCAGTCTTCCCCATCAGCCAGTGCTCCTCAGATGCTCAAGTCAGAATTCCCAGAGTTCCTCAGGAGTCACCCTCTCCTTTATTCCCAAAGCCAAACCATCAACAAATGTTCTGCTATTGATTCTCACTTCAAAAGACACCTCAACTAGATCCACTGTGTTCCTTCTCCCCTTCCATCACCCTACTAATATAAAACACAAAAATCTTTCAATAAGACCCTGGCTCTAGTTCTTATTGGATGAATAACTTTAGAGAAGTAATTTGACCTTTTTGTTGTTTTCAGATACTGTATCTGGTATAACGCTACCATTAATAGCAATAATAATGAAAACAAAACTTGTTGAGTACATAGCAGGTACTGTGCAAAGTATTTTACACATTTTAATTCATTTCATTCCTACAATTCTCTATGAGCACTCATGAGGCAATGACCACAGGCACAGTTTAATAACTGAGCGAACTAAGTCTCTAAGATACTAAGCACCAGTCAGTGACAAAGTCAGATTTGAACCCAGGAGGTTTATTGAAAAGTCCATGTTCTTAATTATTGCTTTCCTCACTTTGTAAAATGAACTTTAAGATAATATTTAGGTTTAGGGTTGGTGACAAGAGTAAAAAAAAGCAACACACGTGAAAATTCTACATGAATTAAAAAATAATACAATAATGTTCATAATAATTTTACTTTATAGTTTTAAAAGTGGAAAGCAGTGATATTTTATTATTCTAAATGAAGATCTTGAAAATCTCAAATTCGTGCTTAGTGCTTTTGACATTTCACAGTAGTTGATACACGTTATTGTTATTGCTATGTGCCGTCAAGTCAGACCCGACTCATAGTGACCCCTCCTTGGGTTTCTGAGGCGGTATCACTACGGAAGTAGATTGCCCAACCTTCTTTCCGAGGAGTGGTTGGTGGGTTTGAACCACCAGCCTTCTGGTTATCAGTCAAGTGCCTTAGGCACTATATCACCAGAGCTCCTAGTTTATACATACATATATATATATATATATATATATATATGACATAGCATTCTAAAAAACATTTAGCTAAAACTTAGGTATTTCTAAAGCATGCTTTTTATCAGAAATGAGAATCAACACTAACATTTTAACAGCAGCTTTTGCATTGGTTTCAGTGTACAGTCATAGAAAACATGTCATATGCATGCAATTATTTAGTTGGCAACAGAACTGTAATCTGGGGTTAAAAGGCAAGAAGTCTGAGGAGTTACGATCAAGAAGTAATGCTAAACATTTTAACAACACACTGCCATCAAGTTGATTGGATTCACAGCGCCCTTGGAGGACAGCTTAGAACTGCCCTATAGGGTTTCCAAGGCTGTAAATCTTTAAAGAAGCCAACTGCCTCATCTTTCTTCTGAACAGCAGATGGGGGGTTTGAACTTCTGACCTTTTGGTTAGGAGCTGAATGCTTTTACCACTATGTCACCAGAACTCCCACACTTTAACACTGGTAAAACTATTAGGCCACAGGCCCTTTCAAAGCTCTTGAGTTTGGGGGTCTAAGGTTCTTTCTATACCCCAGCACATCCTAAATGCCTCTTTGGTAACATATTTTGGACTTTACTATTCTTATTCTTCTTCTTATTATTATTAACTGGAAATTATAGTTGTATTGTACCATGAATTTGACTTGGGTTGATTGAATTGAATGTTTTATTAGGCCTTAATTTGATCAGGTGGTTTTCACAACCCTCCATTGTTAGGAGCATGGAACTCATTTGTTTTCTGACTCCTTCATTCAATATCCTTCACTTTCAGTGTATTCTACTTTTCACTGTACAATGGCCTCTAATATATCAATAAGACATCCTGGGATTATTATGGAACATATTTGAAAATGGTTCAAAGTCGCTGGATAAGGTCTTACCTACCTGGAAATTTAGTATTTGCTGAAGTCTTTCCTTCATTTGATGACAGCGTTGATTGACCACTGAATCCAGCAAAGATAATCGGCCCAAAAGGCAGCCCAATGTGTCCTCAATAACGTCCCGGTTGTCACCGTTCTCTGGAAATGCTTGGGAAAACAAGTTCTTGTTCTTATCCATTTCTTCAGACATTTCCTTAATGTCTTTGGCAAGAGTCTGGGGTTGATAAAAGAGAAAGCATTCATGTCCTTGTAGAGACCTATAAATTAATGTGCAAATCCAAGTCTCTTCCTCATAACATGACACTTAGGGCTCAGCAGTAATTACCTAAAGCAAATATCTAAAGCAAGTTGACTCCGACACATCTACACATTTAAGGGAAGTTACTGTCGGAGAGATATTTTTCATCAGGAACTTTACATCATTAACTACTAATAGCACACATTTTGTCAACAAATGAGCCTTCAAAGTGCGATTTAGGAATTCAGGACATTAATGTGTTTTTCCTTTGCACATAGAGGATCTGTGAGATACAATAGTGTTTCTACGAAAAGTCCTCTCTTTTTTCTTCTTCCTCTTACATTTCCAAAGAGAAAGAATACAATGCAAAACACAAACACCCTTGAGAACTATTTATATCTAGGAACTTCTGCACTATGCTGCTTGGAAAAACATGGAATTTCCACCATATTACTTTGGTTCATGCTTTCTCTTCTTTACACATAAAATTAATTACTCAAAATCAAAATGTTGAGTACTTTGCTACATTAGACGCTCACAGACACCGGTGGACAAACTCACCTCTTGATTGAAGAGGCAAGCCTCTGTCTCTTCGGGTAACAGAGCTGTGGCAACAAATAAACGTTCTTCTACGTCATCCAACCAAGTGGAAGTAGCTGAAACCCCATCATATAACTTCTGTTCCAAGTGAATGCTCTGCCTTTTTGTCCCTCCACCCTGGGCACAACAACAAAGGGACAAAGAGTCAGTCATAGTGTGTTGAGGACTCACAGAAGGACACCAGGATGAGCCTGGGTCCAGTGGCTCTGTCTCTTTGGGGGCTAATCACTCGTGTTGGGTCATGCACATAAGTAGAACAGCTGCACAGAACCCAAGATCCAAAAGCAACCAATAGTAGCACAGCCCCACCTGGGATGAAACTTCTTCGAAGGCCTGGTTCAATCCATCCAGCAACGATGTGACTGCAGACTTGTCTTGGGCCTGCCCATCCCCCTTGTACAGTGGCACTCCAGACAGGAGCCGGTTGGGCCGGCTGTAAAGCTGTAGACAAATGCGGCAGCTTATTTAACAGCATATGCACCATGTCCTGAATTTCTGACTGGAAAGTACACATGGAAGTAGTAATAAATAGTAGACCTGGATGGATCTCTTTGCTTTCATTATTCAACTACTTTCCCCTAAACTCTTCTACGCATATCCAACGTCATCTCAACAAGAACCATGACAAGACTTAGCATTCACATGTCTTTATGTTTCTAATTTCAAGTTCCAGCTCCAACAAGACACTCTGTCCTTACCTTTCAAGCTGATTATTCAGTGTCCACTGACTGTGCCAGGTACCTTCTGTCCTGCAGCTGGAAATGTCTACCACTCAGCATCTCCCTAAAATACATTCCCACCAACCCTATCTACCTCAGAGGCTTTCACTTCCTTGTTCTTTGAATTCCTGCTTACAGAAGCTACTGTGGTGCCTGAATTTCTCATAAATGTATGAAATATTTCTTGGCTAGATTACAGGCTCTTGAAAGCTGGAGTCACATTCTCTCCTGAAGTGAAGTAGCGTGTTCTGCATGGAGGCACTGTTTATAATGTAAGGGACTAGATGAGGAGAAAGTGCCCTGAGAGATAAATGTCCTTTGATCTAGTAAACTTTAGATCAAAAAATGTGCCTGTTTTCATATTTGAGAGTAAAAAGTAGATCCAGTGTACAAAATTGTCAGGCAGAGATCCCAGCTGCCCCCTTTCTGAGTCATGAGACCCTGAGAAGTTATCTAACTTCTCCCAGCCTCAGTTTACAAGTCTGCAAAGTGGAGATAATGTCAATGCCAGTGCTGTTAGATGAATAAACGCCTACTCACCCTACTGCCATTGAGTCAATCCTAACTCACAGGTACCCTATAGGACACAGCAGAAATGCCTCACAACGTTTCCAAGGCTGTAAATTTTCACAGCAGCAGACTGCCTCATCTTTCTCTTGTGGAGTGGCTGCTGGGTTGGAACTACATCTTTCAGCTCACAGCTGAGTGCTTTAATCACTGAGCAACCAGGGTTTCTTGTAAACATCCAGAACACAGAACGTCCTCATTAAACAGGTACTCCCTTCCTTTTCGGTAACTGTGACAGCCAAAGAACTTCTTCTGCAGCTTTTCCCTCACCCCTTCACACCAGAGAGAGGCAAACAACACAGGAGATGCTTTGTGCAGCTGGCCCATGAGTGCTGAGAGAAAGCACTCAAATGCCACAGAAAAGAAGAGTCAGCACTTCCACGTCTAATTCCAAAGGGAAGTGAGACATGAACCTGAACCTAGACCTCAGCATTCCGGGTGTCCTGGGGGATTGCAGGTGGTCCAGCACATCCAGCATGGATGCTATGGGGGTGCCAGGCTTGACAGAGAGAAAACGTAGCTCTGCAAGCCAAGAGCAGATAGACACCCAGCTCGGCCAACACTGGAGTAATCAAGCAGGCACTTTAAGTGATGGGCAACAGGTGAAATCCAGGGCTTGGGCATTCAGTGGCCGGAAAACAAGAAGTAAGCATGGACTAGGACAAGGAGTGTCTTGGATGTATCTGATTTATGATAGTCACAGAAGACTAAAGTTTTTCCCTTGAAATATTGCCAAATAAAAACTGATCCATTTGTAGAAAAATGAAACAAGATTTGTACCTCACATCATACACAAAAATGAACTCCAGATGGATCAAAGACTTAAATGTGAAACTTAAAACTATAGAGTTCCTCAAGGAAAAACTAGGGGCAAATTTAGGGGCCGTAATATATGGCATAAATAGACTATTAAGCATAACTCAAAATGCACAAACAGCAGAAGAGAAACCAGTTGATTGGGACCTTCTAAAAATTAAATTTTTATGTGCTTCCAAAGACTTCTCCAAAAGAATCCAAAGAGAACCTACAGATTGGGAAAAATACTTGGTAATGACATATCTGACAAGGGACTTATCTCTAGAATTTATAGAACACTTACCTCAATAACAAAAAGACAAATAATCCAATTAAAAAATGGGCAGAAGACATGAATAGACACTTCACCAAGGAGGATATTCAAGC